AAATTCACCACAATCTAACCTGAACATATAACTCCCCAATATAAACATGCCAGTTTTTTTTTCTTTTAGATAAAAATGTATTCATTCATTCATATATGCTTGGGCACCTGTCACAGTGTTTGACAGTTTTGGTAACCATTCGTCCAAAGGTGAGAGCTGAAGAGTTAGTGTGGACAGTAATATTGAAGGGCACAGAAAGAGATAAGAAAATTGTTATGAAAACGCGGACAAACATTGGAAGACACTTAAGCTTCACCTTTGAGTTTAATGCGATAGCGATGTCCTGTCCCTAGTGCATACTTCAACCACTGAATGCATACTTTTTATTGTATGATGTTTCTGGTGATGATTAAATTGTGTATTACTTCAATGTAATCAATTAAGTTAAAAGTGGCTTTTTTTTGCAAATGGCTGAATTTTGTGTAATGAGTAGCATACTTTAAACCACGAGTGATTATTCGTGTATAATCTTCTAGAACTTGCTGTGCCCCCAGCACAACTTGGCCTTAAGGGAATAGGCGCAGTAACCTGTGTGCCTCTTGTAGTAGATGGCTGGCTTTATACAAAGAATTCATTATGATAATCACATGTTCTCACACCGGATGGCAATGTACACTGTACCATGCATTATTACTGTGATATTATATTGCCGCATGTTGTTAGGCACCTACCGAAGCTTTGCGCCGCTTCCTGCTCTTATGAATTCTGCCACACCAACTGACAAGCCAAATGCGCCAAGCTAAACGCGCCATGCAACGCTGGCTGCACGTGTCAACACACCACGCGCTGGAAAAAAAGAACGCTGGCGGTTTTTCGAGTAGCAGCTCGAGGCGAGACGCTAAACAAAAAGTTGACGAGGTTTTGACTAGTGAGCTCACAACCTTTGTGTATTTAGTTGACGGGCACAAGTTCGCCATTAATGAATAGCTGTTTTAGCTTCCGGCACTGTATTTGTTCCTTACAAACTGGTGGAGGTACGGGGTATGATTCCAAGCCCATCTCAGGATAGGGAACATAGCCCAGAACCCCGAAGGTTGGAGCCAGCGCTGTTGACTCCCGTACACCAACGCAGGAGTCGTCGCCTACGAGGTGAGTAGCCCGAGTTTGATGCCCTCTTCGATTCTTCGAGACCCGTGGAGGACGTAAGTTTCGGAGCCCCTGCAATGGTCACCCAAGCGACTTCATTTCCATCTCATATCGTCATGGACCCGCCCCGCATACCAGAGGTATTTCACGGTGATGTTTTCGAGGATTCTGAGGACTGGCTCGATGGTTTAGAACGCGTTGCCAGACTGAACGGTTGGAACGAAGACAGGAAACTTCGCTACGTCTACGTCGCACTGCAAGATTCTGCGCGTACGTGGTTCGAAAACCACGAAGCGTCCTTATTGTCGTGGGACGACTTTCGAAGAGAGTTTCTTGCTGCGTACCCTAACACTGACCGCAAAGAAAAGGCAGAGGCCGCTCTTCAGCCTCAAAACCAACGGAACAACGAGAGCGTCGCCATGTACATTGAAGACATGTCCCGACTGTTCTGCCGGGCCGACCCGAACATGGCTGAGGAAAAGGCCGAACATGGCTGAGGCACTTGATGCGTGGAGTGAAGGAGGAGCTTTTTGCAGGCCTGGTGCGTAATCCACTGCACTCTCTTGCTGAGTTCAGATCAGAGGCGACCATGATAGAAAAGACCCTGCAGCAGCACGCGTGCCAATACAACAGGGACGTAAGCGTCTCATCTGTTAGCGCGGCGTCGACAACCCTCACGAGTAATATTGACCTCTTGCGTGAAATGGTGAGGGCTGTCGTAAGGGAAGAACTTCAGAAAATACAAATTACTCAAGCTCATCCAGCGATGTCCTCACTTGCCGACATTGTGCGCGAAGAAGTGCGGCAAGCGGTTCTACAACCACAACCTCAGGTACTACAGCGCGCACAACAGGAGCCTCCGCCTCGGTTGTCGTACGCGTAAGCTGTACGGCAGGACCTCGGACGCATGAATCGGACGGCTGCGACTGCTGTGATGCCTCCGACGTTTTCTCCGAGTACGCCGCTACCAATGCCGGAAGCAAGACCACGTAAGAGTGCTGTATCGCGCACTGTAGACCGGCGGTCCCTTTGTTATCACTGCGGAGAAGCAGGTCACTTTTACCGGGTGTGCCAGTATCGTCGAGCGGGACTGCGTGGTTTTCCAGTCAATGCGCCATGCCCACGGAACGGTGAACGGCCCTACGAAATGGAAGAATACTTGTCTTCACGCTATTCACCTCAAGACACGCAACAACGGGAGTCGCGTTTGACAGCACCGATGCGCTATCGGTCGCCGTGTCCTCGTCCGTCATCAAATCTCCGAAGATCACGTTCACCTAGCCCGCGGCGGGAAAACTAGAGCCAGCGACCTCTGGAGGTGAGGCCGCTGATATACTGACAACTGAAGACCCTCCATTGTTAGCCCGACAGGACGGTGGCAGTTACGCAACGACGGACAAGTGCAGTAGTAGCGACGTTACCTCCGAGATATTAGTCACGATCGACGACGTCGAGGCCATTGCGCTAATAGACACTGGTGCAGACTATTCCGTTGTCAGTAATGCTCTTGCAAAGAAGCTTAAGAAGGTGATGGCTGAGTGGACCGGACCTCAGATACGTACCGCTGAAGGGCACTTAGTTAGTCCCGTGGGGTTATGCACCGCAAGGATAGGAATAAGAGGATTTGTGTATGTCGGCAGCTTTATTGTGCTTCCTGAGTGCTCCCGGGAACTGATTATAGGCATGGACTTTTTGCAAACAAACAATGCAGTCATTTACTTGCAAGAGTCCCAGGTTTCGTTTTCTACGAAGAATGCCGTCGCCTTCTGTCATGCAGAGAAACCAATGGTTCTACCTCTCCTTATTGTGGACGAAGATGTAACCGTGCCGCCACGTTCCAGTGTGACCGTTCTTGTGAGGAGTGAAGTTCTTCGTGACTGTGACGGATTAGCAGACGGAAACATCGGACTGCTACTAGAAAAAGGACTATGCGTGGCAAGAGGTCTGGTGAGCCTTCGTGATGGATGTGCGTATGTCCTATTAACTAACTTTCGAAATGAGCTGCAGCATGTTGCGAAGGGAACATCCGTAGCATCGCTGCATGAGTACGTGCAAGTCTCAGATGTTTTCACTCTTGATAAAGCTTCAGAGACAGTAGACAACGTACTCCAGTCAGTAGACATTGACAGAGAGCTCTCGTCATCTCAGAAGCAACAGATTGCTGACCTCATCGGAGAGTTCGCCTAGTGCTTCTCCACCTCGTCGAAAGTCGGATGTACTCCCGTCGCAAAGCACCGTATCGTGGTCGAAGAACACGTGAGACCTGTGCATCTGCGCCCATACTGAGTAGCGCCAAAAGAAAGGGAAGCCATCAAGAACCAAGTGCAGGAAATGCTCAACGATGATGTAATCCAGCCATCCAACAGTCCGTGGGCATTATTGGTAGTGCTAGTCAAAAAGAAGGACAACACTCTGCGGTTTTGCGTTGACTACAGAAAGCTGAACCAAGTCACAAAGCGTGATGTTTACCTACTTCCGTGGATCGATGATGTCTTAGATAAGTTACGCAATGCTCACTTCTTTTCATCACTGGACTTAAAAAGTGGATATGGCAGATCGAGGTGGATGAACGAGATTGCGAGAAGACGGCATTTGTGACCCCAGACAGACTATACGAGTTCAAAGTGCTGCCTCTCGGTTTGTGCTCTGCTTCCGCTACGTTCCAGAGGATGATGGACACTGTGCTCTTCGAACTCAAGTGGCAATCGTGTCTCGTCTACCTCGACGATGTAGTGCTTTTTTCTTCTACGTTCAAGCAGCACATCCACCGACTGAGAACGGTACTGGATGCCATTCGTGTGGCAGCACTGACCATGAAACCGGGAAAGTGTCACTTTGGATTTCGTCAGCTTAGGTTCCTCGGGCACATAGTTGCTGCGGAAGGCGTCCGCCCGGACCCGGAAAAGATTGCAACTTGAAAATTTTCCGAAACCGCAAGACAAAAAAGCCGTCAGACGATTCTTGGGACTAAGTGCTACTACAGATGCTTTGTTGAAAACTTTGCTAAGGTACCTGAGCCTTTGACACGGCTAATGAAAAAGTGTACCATTCTCTTGACGGGAAGAACAAGAAGCAGCTTTCTCAGAGTTGCGACGCCGTTTACACTCTCCTCCAATACTTGCCCATTTTGATGAAGAGGCCGACACAGACATATATACCAACGCGAGTAACGTTGGTCTCTGTGCCATCCTCGTTCAGTGGCAGAATGGAGAAGAAAAAGTCCCCGCTTACGCGAGCCACATTATCGGATGCTGAGTCCAATTACTCAGTGACTGAGAAAGAGTGTCGACTAATAAAAAGTTTCACCCATACCTCTACGGGAGACCGTTTCAAGCAATCAGTGATCACCATTCATTGTGTTGGCTGGCAAATATCAAGGACCCTTTAGGAAGACTAGCTAGATAGAGCCTGTGTCTGCAGAAACATGACATCACTGTGGTCTACAAGTCCGGCCTCAAGCACAATGACGCGGATTGCTTGTCTCGCGCACCTGTGGAGTCTCTGTCATCTGATCAAGAACAAGACATCCCATTTCTTGGAGTTCTGAATGTATCGAAGATGGCTCGTCTTCAGCGAATGGACCCGGAACTACGCCCGCTTATCCAATACTTGGAGGGTCATCAAATTAAGGTACCACAAGTTTTCGTCTGTGGATTGACATCCTATGCCCTCTGGAATGATGTCCTATACAAGCGCAACTTCGGAAACAGCGGTGAGACGTTTCTGCTTGTTGCATCATCATCACTGCGAGCAGAAATCTTAGAAGCGTGTCATGACGACCCATCGGTTGGCCATATGGGTAGAAGTCACACTTTGGCCAGAATCCGCCGGAAGTATTATTGGCCGAAATTAAGGGATTCGGTGCACCATTATCTCAAGTCATTCCGGGATTTCCAAAGACACAAAATACCACCATCGAAACCAGCGGGTTTGTTGGATCTGATAGAGCCACCAAAAGGGCCGTTTCAGCAAGTGGGAATGAATTTGCTTGGTCCATTTCCTCTCTCCTCATCCGGGAAGCGCTGGATTGTTAGAGCAACAGGCTACATGACTCAGTATACGGAAACATCACCTCTCGCAAAAGGAACGGGGAATGAAGTAGCCCAGTTTTTCGTCACTGAGATTGTACTATGACATGGCGCACCGCAGGTTGTCATTACAGACAAAGGAACAGCATTTACCGTATTTACTTGCGTAATCCTTGCACTCGCATAATTCTCGCATTCTCCACATCGCCCAAGAAAAACTACGATTTTTTTTTTTCCTCGAGTAATTATCGCACCCCCGAAAACTACCGCAATAATGTCGTCTGCTCGTTCCAGCCATTGATGATGATAGTGCGCACCATCTGGCGCCATCTCTTAAAAGCATCAAGCGTACTATTGCATAGAGATTCAAGCCAAGCCAAGCCGAAGTGGGCAGTGCGCGTTACGGCGTGTTTTGTGTGTTGTGTCGGTAACCTTGGCACATTATGGGGTGATACTGAAGCCACACGGCTGCTTTAAGTTGCAAGTGATAGATCATGCGCTAAACAACGGCAACAGGGCCGCCGGTAGGCCCTTCGGAGCCTACGAGTTTTGTGTTCGCTACTGGTGACATCAGCTGAAGGCCACCAAGACGCGTTGGGCCTGCCGTGTGCCTAAAACTGGGATTGATGGTAAACTTTATTTTTTCAAAAGGGAACTGCCGACGATTCTGTTAAATAGCCATCAGCCCAATACTGACGACCTACGCTTACTTTTTGATGGCTCCTGTTGAGCGCCGATCGCTACCGCTACGCCCGCAACGCTCACAAGCTTCGCGTATGGTATTCTAATTCTCGACCATTTGCTTCCACTTTTTGTGTCTCAAATAAATCTTGTCTTGTGTTGAACTTCTGCTTTTATTGTTGAGGTGAGTTCTAATTAGTACTTCTTGAAGCTTGCTGTAAGGTGCTTTTGTAAGAATTCCGATTTGCAGCCACTTCGTTTTCTTTTTTGCTCTCTGCGTTTTCGTAGAAACTTTTCCCCGTGTAATTCTCGCACCCCCCAACTTTGCATCGGTTTTCTGGCTAAAAAAGTGCGAGGATTATGCGAGTAAACACGGTACTGCCCGTTTAATGCAGTCTGTTATAAAGCTCACCCACACCGACCATAAAAGGACTACAGCATACCATCCGCAAACAAACGGATTAACCGGAAGGCTCAATAGATCTCTCGCCGACATGATCTCGATGTATGTGGACGTTGAGCACCAGACATAGGGCAGTATTTTGCCTTATGCAACATTTGCGTACAATACCGCAGTACAAGAAACGACACACTTCACGCCATTTCAACTTGTTTATAGTCGGACGGTCACAACGACCTTAGACGCGATGTTACCTGTCAACGATTCGAATGAGAGTGACCCTCACAACAGCGACTACAAAGAAAGGGCAGAAGAGGCACGGCAATTGGGAAGACATCGTATCATTTTGCAACAAGGCTCCGACGCAAGTCGCTATAATCTGAAGCGGAGAGACGTACAGTACAACCCCGGAGACAAAGTGAGGGTGTGGACGCCTATATGCGCACCTGGCCTATCGGAAAAACTGATGCGGCGCTATTTCGGCCCTTACAAAGTACTTTGCCGGTAAGAAACGCTAAACTACGAAGTAATTCCTGAAGGGCAAGTGTGCTCAACCCGACGCAGGAATCGCCCAGAAGTTGTACATGTAGTACTAATGAAACCGTACTACGAAAGGCACTGAACGAGACAACTGATAAATGTGCTCAAACATCAGATAAATACTCTTTTACAAAACTGTTCGACGTCACCGCGCGCATCGGGACGATGCGTTTCGGGAGGGGGACTAATGCCGCATGTTATTAGGCACCTACCGAAGTCTTGCGCCGCTTTCTGCTCTTATAAATTCTGCCACACCAACTGACAAGCCAAACGCGCCAAGCTAAATGCGCCAAGCTAAACGCGCCATGCAACGCTGGTTGCACGTGTCAACACACCACGCGCTGGAAAAAAAGAACGCTGGCGGTTTTTCGAGTAGCAGCTTGAGGCGAGACGCAAGAGAAGAAGTTGACGAGATGGAGGCGGAAATGTTGTAGGCCCGTGTGCTCAGATTTGGGTGCACGTTAAAGAACCCCAGGTAGTCAAAATTTCTGGAGCCCTCCACTACGGCGTCTCTCATAATCATATCGTGGTTTTGGGACGTTAAACCCCACAAATCAATCAAGAAGTTGAAGAGGTTTTGACTAGTGAGCTCACAACCTTTGTGTATTTAGTTGACGGGCACAAGTTCGCCATTAATAAATAGCTGTTTTAGCTTCCGACACTGTATTTGTTCGTTACAATATGTTGTATTGTGAACCATGCGTATGGGACTTGTGTCTTGTAAAGCATCAAAGTTACTTGCAGTTACTTTTAGGAAGTTCTTTTCTCTGCATTTTCTTGCAAACAACTTGGGCTCGATCTTCACTCGGAACCGGAATTTTCCATTATTTTAGTATTTGCTTTTTCTTATTTTTTAGTCATGCACAAGATGGTGATTTTTCGCTCACAACCAATGACGCCAACGCCGGAATTCCTGCAAAACAAACTTTTTTACGTTCTTGCATTAAAATGTTTTAAACGGCCTGACAACCAATTTTTCTGAACCCAGTTTTTTTACAGCACGACAGAAACCTTACGATTCCTAGTATTGGTGCCTGCAGTAGTTAATCCTAAAAACACATAGCTATTTTATGAACAGTATTTTTCGATCTGAAAGGATCTAAACATGTATGAGCACTTCCTCTAAGAATGCTTAGAATTGATAGTGATGACGCTAGCCCTTCTCATGATTTGTGAAAGCTGTCGTTCTGCTTTCGCGCAAGTTAAACACCTTTTTTTTTTAAAGCTATTCAACCTTTCTTGGAAACATCAAGCTTTTACAATGAGACTATGTGGCTTTATACACCTTTCCTGTATTCATACAGTGTTGTGTGCACCTACGCCTAAGGTTCCCTGCGCCTGTGTCGTGGACAAGCTGACGAGCATGGTATCATTACATCAAGTGGAGGCAGCACCACTTTAATGCATGCTACTAGTGTATGCATATAAACATTTTTATAGAGTAATATGTTTTATTATAGAGAAACAAACAATATTTCAAAACTAACAAAAAGATAGACCACGTACACCAATCAATCAACGATCACGTGACTGTGCACCGCTGACCATTCATATTATTACTGCTAGAAGTGCCAAAGGTTAGGGTAGGGTAGAAGCGTATTGGTATTTTGTGTTTATTCAGTTGTAGATTGTTTTTGCATATTTGAATTGCCACCTGAAAACCATTAAGCCTGCTATCGCAGTAAAGGAAGGCTAGGTACTGGCTTGTGGCCTTTCATATTTAAGAGCAGTGTGCGTGGGCATACTTTTTGTTGCTACATCTTCAGCTTCATGTTGCAGGTTTGCCATATTGAGACTTCTTTTGATTGTTTATGGAAATCTAGACATACACAGAATATCCACATTAGGCTAATCATAAAATAGAATTTCTAAAAGCCACCTCTATGTGCCTCTGCGACTTTTTCTAAGTAGCTGCCATCTTTCATGTGTGCAGCTGTTTGCTCATTCATCAGTAAAGCAGATGGAATATAGAGGTGGAATATAGGGTGAATAAGAGGTGGAATATAAATAGCTGTTGAAGGATGTGTTTATTTCCTAATGTCTTGGCCAACATGGTTCATTTTAGTGACATGAAATCATGTGAATTGTGCTTTCTGCTTGTTCAAATGCTTATAGTACACAAGGAGGGGTCTTGGAATCGTGATAAGTGATGTAACCAGCGGTGCACTATTAAAGAGAACATCAGAGTGGGTTGCAGCTGCTCGGCACCACCACCTGCTGGCGGCTGCGAATATTTTTGCTCAGGCACAGTGAGCACGATGTGCGGTGCTTTTTTATCAATTGAGCGGACTGTAGTGGACATGGCAAGTGCTCCATTTATAATGCACTTGTGTCACAACTTATTGCTACAGCTGGCCGATGGTGGCACCGAGTGGCTTTCAATGTTCTCTAACAATGGAATCCTGTATACACTATGCTTGCTTCTAGACCCTGTTAAAGCAGTGGTAGAATGCTTTTTTCAAATTCTATGCTGAAATACAGCCAGCTAATGGACCTGTTCTTGATCTAAGAATTTAGAACATTCAACAGCCATTATCAATAATTTGTGGCCCAAATTAATGATGCAAAGAAACCTGAATTTTGTTGTGCTTTTTTGATAGGCTGTTTCAGTAGGCAACTAAGGAAAGAGTCTTTTCTAGCCTACTAATTGTGAAACAGCTTTGTTCAGGATATATAGCAGTGACATACAGAATGCGTCTTAAGCATTTGTAATGGCTTCATTTTACATTCTCAGATTTCATTTCTTACAGGTTGTTAATTTTGAAATGCTCAAGCCTGGAATCTGCAAGTCTGAGACTTCGGAAGCCACTGAATGAGCTGTTCATGTTTTTGATAATAAAAAGTTTGTTTTTTGTTCACACATTCATATCTACATAGATCATGGAACTGCTTATCCAGAGTTATTTCATTGTGTGCCATTGTCAACATGTTTGTGTGGCCACGATGACCAGGATCTGCATCATCTGTTGCTTGACTGCCCCAAGTACATCATACATAGACAGAAACTTCGACGGAAACTCCACATTCCAGTGAACATTCTTTTTGGTGAAAATGCCAGGCTCATTACCATCTGAATAAATTACGAAGCAACGAAGTGCTTCAATGTTTTTTTTTTTTAAAGACTAATAACCAATTTTTATAGGGCCCAATTTTTTTAGCAGAATGGAAAGCGGTGCGAAGCATTTCATATCAGAATTTTTACATCTGGAGCGAATGCGTAGTCGTATACTTGCATGCTGCTAACAGTGAACGTAAGAGAACAGCGATTTGTGTTCGAGCACGGTAGTTTACTTCGCATGCGGGTGAGCGTACTATTTGCACCAGGTTAGCCCACAACAAAAGGAAGTGGACAATACTGCTTTATTTCACGTATTGCCTGCAATCGGTAAAATGTGCTCGAGATGAACAATTTCCGAGATGAAAATACATGCGGTACTTCCACTCTGTTGTGTCGTGGTGCCACCTGTGAGTAGCGCACGCACTTAGTGCGCCCTAGTGTGTACTCTGTTCAACAGATGTCGTCTGTAACGGCACACACGTGATTGCATGCAGTCAATCGCGTGTGTCCGCGTGTCCGTTGTGTGTCGTTCAATAAACGGCCGCTGGCCGGCTCAGTCTTTGTTTGGTTCCCGCGGGCTCAGGTCAACTCACTTCTACTGCAAGTGTCGGGGGCGCCTGCCGGCGCACGTTGCGTCTCGCGTTCAGTCGTCGGGCCCTCGCCGTCAGACGCCGCTCGCCGACGCAACAAAATGGCGACGAAGATGGAATGTTCTTCGCCTCGGTTCCTACCACGGCAGAAAGAACCAGTGTCTGATGCGTCTGGCGTCCGCGAGGCCTAGCGCTCTTTGCGTGTAGACTCTGGCAAGCTCTCGCCTAGGCCTTCGCCCTTGCTCCGCTCCACACCTCTCTGTACCACCTCTCCTGTCGGCATGGCTCTCTTCGAGCACCCTCCTATCTTCCTCCAGCTGCCGGGGCCGCCCCCGGTTCCGTGGACTCATTAGAAAAAAATGTTTCAGGCCCACCTCGAGGCGGCCGGCGGCAGCGACTGGAACGACGCGCGTCGGCGCTCGTCAGCCTGCTGGGACAGGAAGGACAGCGGAGGTATTTCGCGGCAGCCGAACAGGAAGAAGCCCGACATGAGACGAGCAATGCGGCGTCTACTCCGAGCAACGCGGCGCCAACTACGTCGGCGTCTGACCCAGATTCGGGTCCGGCTGTTACAAAGTATGACAGTCTCGTCAAGCAGCTCGACCGGCTTTTGCCGCGTCCACTAATCCGCTAGTTGAACGTCACGAGTTCACTAGTCGTCGTCAACTCCCCGGCGAGAGTTTCCTCGACTACGTGACAGTCCTGAAGGACAAAGCCGTACGATGCAAGTTTGGGCTCACGTATGTGGAACGCGTCCGCAATCAGATTATTCATGGCTCGTCCAACTTGCGGGTGAGAGAGAAGCTGCTGGCATACGGCGAAGAGTTGTCCTTGGAGAAAGCGGAAGAAGTCGGTCGGACGCTCGAAGCATTGTCCTTGGCGAAACAAGCGTTTGCTCCCAGTCAACCTGAACATGTCGAAGCCGTTGGGCAAGGCGCCCAATATGGCGGCGCGAAGAGAAAGAATGGCCGCGCCAGGCGGGAAGGCCGTGACGCCACGTTTCCAGGTCCGGGAGGCCAAGATGGCGATTTTCAGCCGCAGTCGTCATCGAGCTCTAGTCCCAAATGAGAAGTCTCAAGGCGACTTCCATCCTCAATTGTGCGACCGCTGCGGAAGCAGACGGGACCACTCAAGTTTTCAAAATTGTCCAGCCCAAAGTCGACGTTGCAATACGTGCAACGCTTGGGGACATTTTGCATCGATGTGCCGCAAGACTGCCCCTGTACAGCGCGTCTCTTCGAGGGGAGCTGTCGACGTCGTACCAGAGCAGCAGACCTCCACTCAGTTGAACTCAACTTCAAGCTCATCAGTGTTATCTTCGGATCGTCCTTTGTTGTCTGTGCTCACCGTTAGCACCTCATTCAGAAAAGACTTAGTCGTCCACGCTGTGGTCGATGGTGTTACCCTGCGACTACTGGTGGATACAGGAGCGTCTGTATCCTCGATGACTGCAGAAGACTCAGCGTCATTTCAGCAAACAGCACAGCCTGTCCAAAGCTGTAGTCGACTTGCAAAACTTCTCCAAGCAGCGCATCGGGATCCTTGGCTCCTTCCAAGCTCCAGTCAAAGTGTTGCAGCGGTCTTGCTCCGTGGTCTTCTACGTCACCGATAAGGGCACATCGCTTCCGCAATAAAAATGGAAGCATCCGGCTGTGTGTAGATCTCAAGAAACCGAATAAGGCAATTATCATCGATGGGTATCCTTTGCCGCACGTTGAAGAGTTGTTGCAGATGTTTCATGGAGCCACTTGTTTTTCTAAGGTAAACTTGGCGTCAGCTTATCGCCAGCTGTTGTTAGGGGAGAGCAGTAGGGACACAACGACGTTCATCACGCATGATGGCTTGTTCAGGTTTAAGCGTGTCTGTTTCGGTCTGGCGTCCGCGCCTGCAGTTTTTCAAAAAATGATGTCCCAGATTTTAAAAGATTGCAAGAATGTAATTTGCTATCTAGATGATGTCCTTGTGTGGGGTAAGACTCAGTCTGAGCATGACGCGAGCCTAATTGAAGTCTTGACTTGCATAGCCAACAGTGGCATGAAGTTGAATGATAAATGTCTTTATTCCGTGAAAGAACTTAGCTTCTTGGGACACCGGATTTCAGCTGATGGCATACCGCCGTTAGAAAGTAAAGTAAAGGCTATAGTAAATGCCCCAGCTCCTACAGACATTAAGTCTTTACAGTCATTTTTAGGTCTGGCAGGCTACTATGCCAAGTTCATTGATCACTATGCAGACCTAGTTGAACCACTTCGTCTCATGCTCAGGCAGGGCCAAGAGTTTTGCTGGTCAGAGGATGCCCAACGCAGTTTTAACCAGTTGAAAACGCGCCTGACTTGTTCGCCTGTCATTAAGGTGTTTAATCCTGAGCTACCTGTGGTGGTTACAACCGATGCATCTGACGTGGGCATCGGGGCTGTGTTACAGCAGCGGTATGGTCCTAAGCTTGAAACAGTAGCCTTTGCGTCGAGAACCTTGTCAGATGCTGAAAGAAAGTACTCTGTGGGTGAACGCGAAGCGCTTGCCTGTCTATTTGCGTGTGAAAGGTGGCATATTTACCTCTGGGGTAGACGTTTCACCCTTAGAACCGACCATCAGGCTGTAGTTGCTTTGTTAGCCGCAGCTGATGCAGGCCGACGGCCTTTAAGGATTTCGCTGTGGTCAGCTAGACTTTTGTAATACAACTTTGACATAGGATATTGCAAGGGCTCAGAAAATGGGGTTGCTGATGCTCTGTCTAGGCTGCCAATTCAGACCTGTCCAGAACATAGCAAGGATGAAGAAATAGTGTCTTTAGTGACATCTGTAGTTGACAAAGAAATCGTCCAACTTGCAACGAATGCAGATGTGACGTTGCAAAAAGTCTGTGAATGTGTATCCAAGGGCTGGCCTTTTAAGAAGCATATAAACAATGAGTTAATAACTTACTTTCATCTTAGGAATGAACTCTCTTGTGTTGACGGATTACTCATGCGTGGTGACCGTGTAGTCATTCCTAGTGTTCTGGTACCTACTTTCCTCCAATTAGCACATGAAAATCATCAAGGGATAGTACGTACTAAGCAACTTCTGCGTGAAAGGTATTGGTGGCCCCAAATGGATCGTTCTGTAGAAGAACATGTCAAGCATTGCCACACCTGTCAGCTGACAGACAAGCCGCATGTAGCATTGTTGCAGCCCGTTGAATGGCCTGAAAGGCCGTGGCAAAAGTTGGGTATGGACATTGTCGGCCCGTTAAATGCATCGTTTCCCAGGTATCTTGTTACTTTAGTCGACTATTATTCAAAATGGCCTGAGGTTCTTGGCACGAATTCTATCTCCACAGAGGATGTCATTAAGCTGTTGGAATCGTTCAGCCGGGAAGGGCTATCAGAGTTCTTAGTAACTGACAATGGTCCACAATTTGTCTCTGTACAATTTCAGGAATATCTAAAGGAACAGGGCATCCGTCATATATTTTCGTCCAATTATTACCCCCAGGCCAACGGTCAAATAGAACGCCTTAACAGGGTTTTTAAGAAACATTTGCAGGTAGCCCGACTTGAAGGTAAAGATGCCTCGAGGAGCATCACACAATTTTTGAGTTCGTATAGGATCACACCACATGCGGTGACTGGCCTGTCTCCAGCTTTTTTGCTGCACGGTCGACAACCTCGTTCCAAAGTAGACATTAGCAACTTTAGGATTCGTCCTAAAGTATCGGAGTCGCCAAATGGGTTGCCTGATGTCCGGAATCAGGTTGCAGCGAAACAGAATAAGAGCAAAGGGTATTTTGACAAAAGGAAAGGTCCGCAGCAAACCCACATAAAGGTCGGCGATTTGGTTAAGGCAAGACTCCATAGGAAAGCTTTTTCAAGTATAGTAGGCCTCTTACAGTGAAGGCTCAGGTTGCGCCGTCCACTTTTCTCCTCAGTGACGGAAAAGTGTGGAATGCATCCAAGTTAACAGTAATTCCTAAGGATTCTTTCCAGAATGCCGCCCTTTCTACTACACCCAAAGAACTTATTTACTCTTATTCCAGTTTAGATCTTTGTGACAGTCAGTCTCCTGGTGCACCTATGTTGCAGGGCTCCACCCCCAGTTTTCAGCCAGACTCCGATTCGTCAGAGATCTCTTATAGCGAAGGGTCTGAATCAGTTGTTCCCCAAGGAACGTTGGGAAGTCTGCAGGACCCGGTGCGGGTACCTTTTTCAAGTAATCCACTAAATCTCAACCCTGGGGAGGGAGAAAGTGAAGGGACTGCAAGGTTTTCAAAGACGACCGAACCTGGTCGCACTTCAACAAGTTCTACTGAGACTTCTATGCGTCCGCGCCGTCAGACAAAACGACCTGACTGGCTCAAAAATTTTGTCACTTAAGGTCAAAAGAGTTCTTCCTATAATGCCGTGGCTAGTGGGCCCAGCCACGACATCGCAAGAGACTTTCAGTTCTGTGTTTTTTTTTT